GGGTCCACGTGGTTGAAAGGGTTTGAATATTTCGTCCATCTACGGTAGTAAGGCACTTGTTACTAGAAGCGATGCACTTGTTCCTAGTAGCTTCTTGTTCCTAGTAGTAAGGCCAGGAGCCCCTAGTAGCGTCCTTGCTCCATACTAGCGATGCCCTTTGCTCCTAGTAGATTCCTTGCACCATCCTTCTCGGTACGGCCATGTAGGGTTGATGCTTTGTGACGTAGGTAGTCCCTTTCCGGAATCCTCCGCCAGTTGAAGATTAACGTTTTTGCGGAACCTGTTACTATAGCGTGGGGCCTGGTGGGAAGCGTGGCTAAGCACTGCTGAGATGGCAAGTTGTTTTACCATCCTTCTCATTTGTTTGAACTCTTGCTGAATCAGTTCAATATGTTCAATCCCCTCAAGCATCACATTATGATGTGAGAGTGTTCAGCAAACATTGCAAGGGCAACTAAACTTACAATCCCTCCTTCCATCCCTTTCCCATCTCCCCCGGCACCGTGCGTGTCAATGGGACGTACGGCTGCAAGCGCTGTGCTCGTCGTAGCGAAGGTGGAAGAAAATGCAAGGAGGGACCAGCGCCCAAAAGAAGTGCCACCACAGAAACCTGGTGTCACAGCAAACGCCGACACAATTTTATCAGTATGCAAATCTTATTCTTACGTTCATGTCATCTGAGTCTGCTGTGCTATCAGTGGACCAAGGTGCATTATTTGGGGCATGTATTTCTGACAAACGCATCTTCATCAGCTTGCCAGTAGAGCGAAATAGCCCCTAAATTGTTTGTTTTCTGACAATGGTTCCTGCATGCTCTTGCAAAACCACGCAGCCTCTGAAATAGTTTCTTCGCCTTCCTTCCTCTTGATCACGCACGAGCCATCCTCCAGAATCTCTTGTAGATCAGATTCGGCCTGCACTGCCAGTGGGAGCGGTGCTGTTTGTTTCTTACCGGTGGTCTGTCTCGACATAGTCGTGCACTCTGCTGCCTAACTTCTCTTGATCCAAGGAATGATCAAAGTAGAGCAGCAAGTAACATTGGACTGGACAGTACTGGAGGTCTACTGTATGAAAATACCTCATGTCTTCAATATGTCTAGCTTCTGCATCGATTGCAATGTGATTCGTGTTGGTTCTTGTTGATCTCATCGTTGTCTATTGATCCACGCATGCCTCCGAAGCACCTGTCCACCGTCAGTCTCCAAACGTTGCCGCAGACCCCGACGCCTTGGCGGTGTAGCGCGGGTCGGAGGCTTTTTGTCGCATTAGCTGCGCCAGCCATTCTTCGTCGCGGTACATGGAGGCCCCGTGGCTGTCGCCAAACCTTTTTTCGGTGCCAACAGACAGAAAAGCAGGGCACCCAAAAAGCTGCTTCAAGAAGTGACTCGAGTGGATTGGAAGTGTCTTGTTTGATGATCTTCTTGATGCTTCAACTTGGAATTCCTTTACAAAAATGAATGACGATGTGTAATTACCAATGCGACTGATGAAGACCATGCGGAATCTACTGATTTGACGTCGTCATAAACTAAGAGGTGCTGCCAAACGCAAAAGTCTTGCATCCCAGGAGCATTTTTCCGATCTTTGTGTCTTCAGCTTTTCCACGAAACCTAATTCATAGGTCATCACATGTGTCGCAAAATTAAGCTTTAGACTCTTCAACTCTCGTCACAACTTGCTGAATGCTCTGCAAAATGTGTCTCTGTCTGTCCTTGTTCACATTGCATTAATATCCAAAACAAACAGCATTGCATGATATCAACAAACTGTGAGCCAAGACTGTGAGCCAACTGGACCGTCCTTTCAACAATTGGGCCAAATGGACGTTGATCGGGGCCTGCAAGAAGCAGCAACCATTTCTCTGTGTGTCCAAGCGATGTTGCCTTTGCTTCGAAGGCACACATGAGTGACGCGGACATTGATGCCGTCAGCTCTCAAGCCCAAGGCATGCAGGATTGCATCCGCCGCACTAAGACCTGCACCTGGTCAAGCAGACAGAGTATTGCCTCCAACCTAAAAGCGATGGCCTCCAACCTAAGAGCGATGGCCTCCAACCTACTAGCAATGGCCTCCAATTCCTTTCCAAGCAAGCAAACTCCAATGGACGTGCCTTGTGGCTTGGAACCAAAAGTCATGCTTCACGTCCATGCTGCATGCTAAAAGCATGGTTACAGTAGTCCAGGAACCCCCGATGCTGCCCAAGCGCCTACTACAAGCAAATGCCCGATCCTGGCCATTAGCGCCTCACAGCATCAGAAGCGAACAAGAGCAGCATGACTTCCCACCCTAGGCCACATACAGAGGCAATGCTGTGGCATCATGGGATTTTTGGTTGGAGCTGTGCAAAGGCCTTTGGACAACTTTCTCTCTCCTGGATCACTTGTTCTGGTCTCCTGACCTGCTTTTCTTTCAAAGTACACGCAAACAAACAGTTCATACATTCAAACCACAAGCTGTAAACTGTGGATCTGCAGCCTTTCACTTCAAGAATGTAGTGTCTGGAAACAGTATCCAAGTATGTCTATTCGTCTTCCAAAAACATATTGAGCACACCACGTGACCTCTCCAGCGCAAATCCCACCAAACACCGTCATCTACAGTGTTCTAGACTGTCCAAAAAGGTAGCGTCTCCACCCTGCCTGGTTGTGGATGGGTGGTCGGTGCGTGACAAAGTCCAAGTCTTCTCCAGTAATGTTGAGCCGTCGGGGCACATCAGCGGTGCCTGTCGCCAGAGCAACAGCTTTCGCCTGAAGAGGGATTCGGAATCCTGGAATCCTGGATCTCATGGACATTAAAGAGTTCTCTTTCAGAAAGAATACCTGCTTTTGCTGGCAGTTAGGGGATGTAATTACTGTAAGAGGTATAATATATGTATATCGATATTGGAATCTAAAGTTGTTAAGGCAGGCCATTTCACTGCGTGTTGCTTGACGAGTACGTCTAATTTAAGGGGTATATAGTTGAGTCCAAGATCCTGTTGGCAGGTAAGAAGTCAAAGGGGTACTTTGAGCAAGGGTGGGGTACTCATCGAACCATAAAAGCCAGTTAGCAAAAACATGTAGTATTGCAATTTACAGTAAATGTAACCAATGGATAATTCCAACGTGAGCCACAATAATGACAATAGAACAGCTTCAGCATGTGTTGGATACTGACCACGTTGGTTTTGCACGATCTCTGCCTTGATGGTTTTGCACTCGGAGTCGGCGTCCTGCCATCAAACAGCGTCAACTTGGCGCCGAGGGGGAGGTTCAAAGGATTTCAAAGGCCTTCCACTTGATTCTTAACCTCTTAAGAGCAATTCCCAAGTGAATGAGAAAACAGCAGAAGCATGGTTGAATGGCGCACTACTGTAGTTTCACCTGTTGTGGTGCACTTGAGAATAAACTCACTAGTGAAAGGGATCTCGGACGACAAATACGGGAACATCTTCCAAGGACCTCTGGAAGGCTTGACAAACAGCCTCTTTATGCAGTATCAGTATATATATATACTGTACTTATACATAATCATATTTGTCATAAACATTGATAACCTATTTCCCCTTAGTGGCAGGATGGATGATCTCCCACACCCACATTGCAGCTCTGCAATTGGTCAAACCGGCTGTCCTCTCCAGGCATCGAGATCCTGATCAAAGTCCGAATACATTCGCAGGTCTAGAGCACTATCTTTCAACCCCGAATGACCCCAGGCATATTTGTCAGGCAAGATTCGAGTGTGAGAAGATGCATCCAACATACAAACTACAAATTCACTACCTGGCTAAATGCCAAGGGTCTGTAGACGCCAGAAACCATCCTCGTCACGTTCCATCGATTGCACTGTTCCCTGCACAAATTCGGTTGACGTTAACCGCCGTGCGTAAGTGCTATAGTATTCCTTGGCTGGTTTTGAGCAGAATGAGAACATACGAGAACGAATGAAATAGACTGCGGGCAGGAGACATTGCGGCAAAGGAGAGCAATTCACAGTAGAACCATGATGAACCATGTATAGAATAGAACCAACAATCAACCAATTCTTGTCAAGAAGGAAACCTCCAACTGAAACATGGTTTTCATGCGGGTGGAGCGACTAAAGAAGCACTGTTCATAGGAATGCCGCAATCCTGATTCCGTCGCAGCATTGGCGGGCAGAAACTAAATTAAAAGGCCAGTGAGGCCTAGTAGGAAAGATCTAGACGTGTTGCTTCAGAAACCGATCCTCGGAATGTGTCGGGCCTGCCTTCACCTCTCGCATCCTTTCCGCGGTGGCTCAAAAGGGATTTACCAACACAACCTTGCAGCACTGGGCCCAGCCTTTTTTGGATCTTCGCTAGAATGCCAGCACCAAAAAACGATCGGCTTGAATCTGAAGAAATACTGCAAATATATGTGATTCAAAAACTATAACTATAAAAAAAAATATGTATATATATATATTTATAAAACACATAACCTGTCCTGGCTCCAAATATTGAACATTGATGGGGTTCATTAGGGTTTTCGCCAGCTATTGCCTGGTCAACCACAGCAGCCGTCTGTCGAGCCACTGCCACCAGCCAGCGTGGTACACGTGCTGCAGCTAGTGCCTCCGAACTGCCATAGTAACGGTGCAGCTCATGAGCCTGACAAACAAGGCAAACAGCCAGGAGACCCACTCGGCGTACGGAACTGATCGCCCCAAGCCCTGGAGAAACCAAAGTGAAAAAATTGCCTGGGCCTAAACAAAACGGGTACTGGTGAGCAGCCAAGCCTCATTTGAAGAACCTGTTGCAAAGGCCTCGTTTGTTTGTAAATGTAGGAAGAAAGAGAAGTGAAGAAAAGAAGGATAACTTATCGAAGAAGAAGGGCTCCAAGCTATGACGCAAACATCCAGGAACATCCGTGTAGGAAGACGACGAGGGAGAAGGAAGTGTTCCCAACTACGACCAACGCCTTCAGGGACACACCATAAATAGTGGGGCCCCTGGATATTGATGGATATTGCATCCAGGGACACCCAAGAGAAAGGAAGGAAGGAAGGAAGGCAGGCAGGCACGCAGGCAGGCGGCAGGTAGAAAGAAAGACAAAAAGAGAGAAACAAAGAAAGACGAGGTTAGGCGCTCCCAGCTACGACAGAAGCGTCCAGGGGCGCACCGTAGAGAGGGGGGTTTGTGGGCCACTGGGCGCTACATCCATTGCTCTAGCCACACAAACTCCTGTAGACCTTTGAACTTGGATGCGGGCCATGTCCTCCTCCATGGTCAGAAGCCAGGGCTGGACTTGCACAAAGTACAAATCCATGAAGTGAGGGGGTTTGAGCAAAAAACTCGTCCGTCGTCAATTAAAACGTTGCCGGTCGCCATTGAACTTGTAGGTGATGTTGCGGTGGTCAATGTCAACCATGGATTTCGCTGGGAAAGTCTTGGCTTGGATAGCAATCAACTTACCACATTCTTGGCTCATCAGTTTGTATACATTTGTGCTATGAGCTTGCCAGTTCTGAGGCCACGAGCCTGATCCTGCGAGAGGATCGCGCAAGCACACCGGATCCTGCAGAGACCGCACTACCGCATTTGAGGACACCTCACACAGAAGCTGCTTCCCGTACTACATTTGCACTGAGCTTGCCAGTTCATGAGGCCACGAGCCCGATCCTGCGAGAGGGTCGCGCACACCGGATCCTGCGGAGATTGTAGCTGAAACCAATTTACACCGAAGCTGCAGAAATTGTCAGCGCTTTCATGACTGAGAAGACACCTTGCCTAGCTCCGCATCTAAAGCTAGGTCTACCAAGATTCTTTGTATGAATGGCGGCCAACAGGCAGCCACACAATGAATACGGTGGGGTTGCAAGCCACTGAACCTTGCTATGGCTGACAAGTAGCCACAAGGCCCAGCAGCGGGGCAGTGGCCGCCACATCACAAGCAAAGGCAGGGAAGGGTCAAGAATGCTCGAGAAAGATTATATAGCACGCTTGGCGTTCGACCCAGTTGCTCCGAGGTAGTTGTCAATTAATAGGGAGCAGGGCTTGAAGCAATACCTTGTCGGACCTTGTCCTGGTTGATAGCCAGGATCAGTAGCAAGATGAGTTCGAGAACTCGAAGAAAACCTGTAAAGTGAGATGGACTGCTGGACGTTCAGTTTCTGGTAGGAGGCCATCCTAATTTGCAGTTGGAAAGGGAAACGGGCGTAACGGGCCTCATAGAAATTCACCATGTCCCTTCCCAGCTGCTGTTCAACATAACATGCCAACAAGATGGCTCCAAAGACAATATTGAAATTCTTCTTGCGCATGTCAAGAAGACACACAAGAATCGCAGCATTGTGTTCCCCAGGCGTGCTGATGTTTTTGGCTGCCCTGAAAATGAAATCAACGAATGAATGAATGAATGAATGAATGATTGAATGAATGCATGAACCCCCACAATCAACTGTGAACCAGGACTGAAATCACAAACACTGTATTGCGCCCAATCCCCGGTTTGAGAAAGCCATATCATATAGGAAGGCTTTCTCTTTCTGCCCAGCCCGCTGTAGAAGATATTTGGGCACCTAGATTTGATCCATTCGTGAAGTGGTGTCACTGTGATACCACTCAAAAAGTTTGGCGCCAAAAAGGGCTTCACACCAATCCGAACGCAAATCAGAAAGTCGCACAAAAGTGCACAGGATGGTCTAGTTCACAGAGTGAACAGGATGGCCAAGTTTTGCTAAAGCTCTGGCAGCTCTGACATGAAGTTCATGTATGAAAAAAATCTGAGTGTGGTATGTCCAAATCATCTGATATATAGGGTCTAAGTCAAGTAAACAGGGTCCACAATCAGTGGACACACCATGTCAGACCTTTGAGCTCAAGCACCCAGGGGCGCACTGATTTCAGACCCTAAGTAGTTGAGGGTGTGTACGGAACTGATTGCCCCAAGCCCTGGAGAAGCCTAAGTGAAAAGTTTGCCTAAGCCTAAGTAAAACCGGTAGTAGGTTGGAGGCCATCGCCAGTAAGTAGGTTGGAGGCCATCGCCACAAAGTTGGAGGCCATCGCATCGAGTCAGGTTAACAAACTGGAAAATTGGAAGCTGACATCGAACACAGCTGCAGACCTGGAAACCTAAGCAGCCTTTGCCTTTCAGACCTTACAAGTGGACGCTATTTTACAACACTCACAACCAATGCAGGTACATGGGACCGGCCAGGTCCCACATCCCGCGATATCACCCAGCTTCGTTGGTCAAGATTGGTGATATCGCGCCATGACCATCTGCATTTTAACACCGAAAGGTTACCTTTGATTCCAAGGTGTCCACACACACCAAAAAGTAATATACTACCCTCAGGTGAGACGGGACCTTATGGTCTTTTTTTTGAAAAGGGACATGCAGATGAGACAGGACCTTATGGACAAATAGATTCATGCACATCAGCTTTAGCAAATGAGACAGGATGTTACGGCCCTTCACGCGACGGTGTGTCCAGGCATGTCCAGGCCTAAATAATAGTCCAAAAAGCACATGAGTCAGGAGCTTGTGGGCATGGGCAAACTCGCTGCAACAAACAATATAAAATCAGGTCTGTTTGCTTTGGCTTTGCTGCTGAGATAGGACTATATGGTCCCCCAATTCAGATTACACACATGAGATAGCAAAACAAAAATCACATTGCCCAAATATGCACAGAACACATGAGATAGGAAAATAACATCTCAAGATCGTCCGACTACTCCCATCTCTCTTGGAGTCAGTATAATTGAAACATATTGAAACCAGAAAGCAATCTTGTTTCTACATGTTTCTATATACGACGTTCTACGTTTCAAACAAAAAGT